AAACTCCACCCCCTGACTCCTCTCCCCTCTGACACTCGCTAAACCTGATCGAAAACCGCGCTAATCATGGCATTAGAAGTCTGACATTCCGGATCCAATTTTAACTTAAAAATGTGTTTTTTTTTTGCCCTCGCAACTTGCCAACCCCCAAAAACTTTATCGATTTCCCCGTTTTTCGAGGGGTCGAACAATAATTTGGCAATTGGACAATTTTACGGTTTGGTAATACTGCCAATTCCCTCTAACAGGATACATAATTAGCCAATGGTACTAGGACTCTATCGAGGACCTATACGGGAACCGGAAGTTGTCGTGATTTATCGAGATTTCCCGTCAGGCACTATTAGCCCCTTCCGGTTCTTGCTTTGCCCCTTTCCACATCGTGCGGAGTCGCTGCAGCCGCCTTTCTTCCCCCTCCTGACTTTTGTTACGTGTGCAACCGGCTGCCGAGAATGCCAAGGAAATATTAATATTGGAAAAATATTCAGAATGGGGTTTTGGGGGGCCGGGGGGAGGTTCAAGTAAAAGGTGGGCGGTCGCCATTCAACTGTTATTCAGCATTCAACAAAGGCAGAAGAAAATTGGCTAATTTTTCCGCGCCGTCAAGAAAGATTCCCGGATGCCAAAGTGGATCCGCAGCTTTTCAGTTTTATTCGCCTCGCGAATCTCTATACGTGCATGTACCCAGTCAGGGCTGGTACGTGGTTTGGATAGGGAAAAAGAAAAAATAGAGGCGACCAATGAAAAGTACTTTTTATTCCGATATTGAGGAAGCGACTCGTACCCATTGTATGCTTTCTATTCTGGTTGGTGTAACCGGTGGAAAATATACACAAAGGACAAACTTAAAATGGTTTTGTAATACGTGAAAAGCAGCCAAGTGGAAATGGGAAGAGTAAGGGAAGCGTGAAAAATGCTGAACCGTGGAAATTGTTGATTTGTCAGCTATTTTTATTTACAATGGGAACTGGAATACTCTGGGTTTGTTTTTTTTCATACTCAAACGTTAATATTCGGAAAATTTTTTTTTCTATCCTTTTTTCGACATTTTACCATAATCGAGGTATTAGGAGACCCATTGCTCCGTATTCCATTCAAATATCTACTTGGCTCAGAGAACTGGGACGAAAATGCCTCTTGGCATCGCTCTTACCGGACGTTTCAAAACTTACAACGACTCTCCGTACATTGTTCTCCATGCTCACGACCGACGATAAACCAATTTTGTCCTCAAAGCTATACGTTTGCTTTTTCAATTTTTACAAGTCAATCTATTACTTTTGTTTAATTTGTCGAAAGACGTAAAAGTCGGTTATCGCCGAGATTTACTCTTTGAATTACCAATCGGAATTTACTTAACGTAATGCGGTTCGCCCGCGAGGATGGATCGATGTAAAGTCTAAATTACACGGTCGAAGGGTACAAAAAGGTTAGGAGAAAGACGGAGAACGGAAAAGAGAGAAAAAAAGAGATGTAAAAGGTAGCCAGCACTTTTCGAGGGATTGGCAGTGGGTCGCGGTGGGTGGTTGGGGGG